CTGGCGTTCTGTACTGTACAGGGTGTCTCAAAAGTTCGTTCACAGGTACCAGCCATGCTTTTTTGTCAATAATTCTGAATCAACAAGAAATTAACAGTCGAAATTTTGCATGGGCATTGGTGACAACCTTCCTCAAGCAGTCTCATTGTTTTCAAGTGCATTCGACCCTTCATGAGCTCACAAAAAGGGTTCACCTCTGACCATGGGTCAGGCACGAAAATGTAGGTTGCAAAGTCGGGTATGTTGTGAAACTCTCTGTTTCAGGAGTAATGGGAATGGTTAAGTCGGAAATGACACATGGCTAAGTGTCGGCGAGGATGAGTGCAACATGATGATCATCTCATAAAAACGGTGGCTAAAATTTTTGAAGGACGAAACCATGCGAGACTAACGGCGTTTTGAACGACTCTCGCACGACAGCAGACTCGTGTTCCGGAAAGCAGCTGAAAATGCGGTCATAACTATTGAAAACTGGCAAGAAGGTCACAGACAGAGGTTACCCATTTTCAAAAAGTGCAGGTCATCGTAAAATAAAGACAAATTATAATTTAAAATTGTTTATAATATCTATAACGCTAATTTTTGGGGACAATAACACAAAAATCGTCAATGCCAGGGACACCTGACCCTCCAAAAGTGTCAGTTATTGTAAAATTTTATCTAACGAAGTTTCAAGAGGCAGATCTGCAGCGAATAATTTTCTTTTAAACACAAAATCCCGATAAAACCACACGATGGACAGGTTTGGGCCGTTTACAAAGCAGAACATCTCCCGAGGAAAACAGTCCGCAACCGAGCGAAGGTCTTGGCATGGGGAATGACGAGCGCTTGGAATTTGCAAAATTTGCACAATGTGTCTGAGAAACAGATGTCCGACACATTCTGCTACCATATGATGCGAAAAATTTACTCCTGGCACTTCCCGTTTGTTCAGGACTGGGGTCGTTTTGAAAAGGAAAATGGCGCTTGGGATGTCGGCGCCAGTCATTCATGAAGAAGTTAGCGCCAGAGAATGCCTACAAAATACTCAAGAATGGTGTCGATGCAAGCTGTCGGCTTTCAGGGAAAATCAGATGTTGCCGGGGAGCTAGTCAAAACTAAATCCGACGCAGAAACTGCAGGGGATTCCCCTGCAAGAGCTTGAAAGCTGGTAACCTTTTATCAGCCTCCGGCAGCTGACGGAGCAACAAAAATCGGTATGGGCAAATATTTTTGGAGATACAGCAAAGGGGTTGGTTTCCAACCTTCTTAATCAGTTGTCAAAGCATGCATATTTGTCTAGTGTACACACAGACACCAAAACCTTATACTTTTGGCCGGTTCTTATATGCTTTTTTGGCATGGGAAATGTGTGAACGAACTTTTGAGACACCCTGTACACTGAGCAGCGTGGCTGATGTTCTGTACTGTACACTGAGCAGGGTGGCTGATGTTCTGTGCCACTGAGCAGGGTGGCTGATGTTCTGTACTGTCCACTGAGCAGCGTGGCTGATGTTCTGTACTGTCCACTGAGCAGGTGGCTGATGTTCTGTGCCACTGAGCAGGGTGGCTGATGTTCTGTACTGTCCACTGAGCAGGGTGGCTGATGTTCTGTACTGTCCACTGTGCAGGGTGATTGGCGTTCTGTACTGTACACTGAGCAGCGTGGCTGATGTTCTGTACTGTCCGCTGAGCAGCGTGGCTGATGTTCTTTACTGTCCGCTGAGCAGGGTGGCTGATGTTCTGTACTGTCCGCTGAGCAGGGTGGCTGATGTTCTGTGCCACTGAGCAGGGTGGCTGATGTTCTGTACTGTCCACTGAGCAGCGTGGCTGATGTTCTGTACTGTCCGATGAGCAGGGTGGCTGATGTTCTGTACTGTCCGCTGAGCAGGGTGGCTGATGTTCTGTAATGTCCACTGAGCAGGGTGGCTGGCGTTATGTACTGTACACTGAGCAGGGTGGCTGATGTTCTGTACTGTACACTGAGCAGGGTGGCTGATGTTCTGTACTGTCCGCTGAGCAGGGTGGCTGATGTTCTGTGCCACTGAGCAGGGTGGCTGATGTTCTGTACTCTACACTGAGCAGGGTGGCTGATGTTCTGTACTGTACACTGAGCAGGGTGGCTGATGTTCTGTGCCACTGAGCAGGGTGGCTGAGTTCGTTACCAGGAACAAATAATTATACGAAGATGAGTGGAAAACACTTTGAGTGAATTCCAGGGACACTGGGTGGCGTTCGGTGATGGGATGTGTACTTTTACCGACAGAATCTGTCCCTGCAGATGACAGGAACTGCCTCGTATATGGGGCCGGTTCTGTCAGATGACGCATGGTCACATAACCGACTCTAGCGTCGAAACTACTGGAGATGCGACCGAATCACCAATGGGGCATTTGAAGCCCTTGCTATAGGTAATATACCAGGCAATAAGAACGCAGATTTCCCTGGCTTGCGTCGTACTCTGTCTTTGGTTAATTGGGGTCTGTTAGACGGTGTGGAGGTAGACGAGGCAGTTGACATGTTCTACGCGTTTCTGGAATCTGCCATTGCGGACTACATCCGGACGGTTACTGTCCGGCGCAGATGTCCCCCGTGGTTTGACGGTGCAGTGCGGGCTGCTCTCTGCGAGCGAAGGAGGCCGCGTTCAGGCGAATGCGCCGCTGTCCGAGTGATGAAAGTGCGGCCGAGTTTGCTAGTACAAGAAAGTCATTCAAAACCTTAGTTATTTCGAAATATTATCAATATCTGGTGAAACTTGCAGACGACTTGAAAACAAATCCCAAAAGGTACTGGACTTGTGTCAAATGTGTCGGTAAGTCATCACAAATGTCGAGATTCATTTATCGAGACGACGGTTCACTTACTTCCGATCCTGCTGAGCAGGTGGAGATTTTTAGCAAGGCTTTCGCAAGCAAATTTACTAACAGGAATTCTGGGACGACTCCATTGGCTAAGCCATACCCTATCGGCACTTTGTCTCACTTTCATGTCACTGAATTATCGGTCCGCGCGGCTCTTACATCTTTGACCCAGAATAAAGCATGTGGACCTGATAATATCAGTGCTAGAATCATTTTAGAATGCCGAGAAAAGTTAGTTGTTTCGCTAGCAAAAATTTTCGACTCATCCATCAACTCGTGGAATGTTTCCTACACGGTGGAAATCTGCAAACATCGTGCCGATTTTCAAAAAAGGGGACAGAAGACTGCAGCAAATTATCGGAGTGTCAGCCTGTTACCCCTGTTCGCTAAAAATTAAAAAAGGTAGTGTACGACCAACTTCTTCGGCACGTATCCCCAGTATTGTGCAAAGAACAGCGCGGTTTTGTCCCTGGACGGTCGTGTACGAGCAACTTGGCTGTCTTTCTGAGCTCGGCGTGGGAGGTCATATCGGAGGGGTATCAGACGGACACCATCTACACTGATTTCTCGGCTGCTTTTCAGAGCGTTAATCACGGGTTATTGATTCACAAGCTCAAAAAATCTTATAATCTTCGTGGCTCAGCCTTAGCATGGTTCGTCTCATGCCTCTCCGATAGGCGCCAAAGAGTCACACTGAATGGAAAAACGTCAGAATGGACGGGAGTTCTATCAGGCACCCCGGAAGGGTCGTTGCTCGCACCCATTTTATTCTCTCTTTTATCAACGACCTTCCGTCTGAAATAGAGTCAGGATGCTTGCTTTACGCTGATGATGCCAATTTTTTTTTTAGAAAAATTGTTACCCCTCAGGATGGTATCGTGCTGCAGAGGGATTTGAACCGACTGCGATGCTGGTCGAACAGGTGGGGTTTATCCCTAAATCCCGCCAAATGGAAGTCACTCAGTGTGACTCTGCGGCGCGCCCCGGTCCAGACCAACTACCAAATTGACAATATTCTGCTTGAAACTGTTGATGAGGTTCGTGATCTTGGCGTTACCATAGATAGCAAGTTGTCATTCTCGGCACAAGTGTCCCGGATTGTTTGTCAGGCCAACAGGGCTTTGGGCCTGATGAGCAGATCGTTTCAGACCGAGACAAGAAGATCTAAATTTAATCAGAAAACAATGATCGTCACTTATTTTGCCATGGTCAGCTCTATCCTGGAGTATTCTTGCGTGGTCTGGGCAGGGGCGGCCAAATCCCACACAGAGCGGGTTGATCACGTGCAGCACAAATTTCTCCTTGGGCTGAACAGTTACACCATTAATCCGTGCCACTCACGTCCTACTCCTCTCTCCTCAAACACTTTGAAATCACCTCCCTATCGGCACTTAGAACCCAATACGACCTCCTCTTCCTGAGAAATATCTTTTCTGGAAAGGTCGACTGCGTAGAACTCCTTGCCAAATTCCCGCTTCACGTGCCGCCGAGATCAAACCGCTCACAGCGGCTAATCGCCGAGCTCTCCTGGCGTGTCAAAACAGTTGGCGATGGTTTCTTGCGCCGGATGTTAAGGTAAATGAACATTTTTTTAGCTGAAACTGGCGCAGACTTTTTTAGAGATAGTTTTTACACTTTTAGGGCTCATGTCATGAAATACATACAAGTTTTATAGACAGCGCATAGTCATCTGTTTGATGTGTTCACCGTTCCATGTCTTTTTGTGACCGCATGTTCGTTTTTCATAACATGGTCGCTATCTATTGTCTTGCAACTTTTTGCATTCATTTTCGTATTGATCTATTAGCTTTCGTTCCGTGTTTTTATTCATCGACTTCGCCTTCGTCTGTTGGCGATTTAATAAATACACAATACACAAGTATCAAACACCACTTGTGAAAGTGTGGGCGCCAGAGCCAATTTTATAAAAAGTCAGCCACTATGTGCCCTACTCTCCCCTACTGTCCACTGAGAGCAGGGTTGTCGATGTCCTGTATTGTCAGTCGACGCTGGTTGCGACAGGATACCGAGGCCGGCCTGTATGTATTGTACTAGGACTACTGAGTGAGCCGGCCGCCGGCCTGTCTGGGCCGTTATGGCCGTGACGGACCTGTGCGCTGACCCGGTGCTGTAGCTGACCCGGTGGTTGAGCTGACTGACCTGTCTGGCCTGCTGTCGGTGCGCTTGGTTCAGTCTGTCCAGTGTCTCGGCCGGCACACGGTCCAGCAGCGAGGGCAGCGCCGCATCCGCCAGCGAGTTTTTCAGGTCGAAGTGGGACGAGGCCCAGCTGCCTCGCGGCGTGTCAGCCATCAGCCAGCTGGTGCGCGCCGAGCCCGACGGCGTCTGCGGGTTACCGACACACCGGCCACCGGTCACCGACACACCAGCCACCGGTCACCGACACACCGGCCACCGGTCACCGACACAACAGCCACACGCACTCACAATATACAATTCCTTTTGGCTTTACCTCGCGCGGTGTTACTCAGTGTCCTGATTTATCGTGTCAAGTATGCATATCTGTATACCTATTTGAGGTGCATATTTGTACCGGTTACTTTGTAATATATGTTTTCAAGAACACCTTTGCATAGCCTATAACAAGAGCTAAGCTATAAGTATGCCGCTTTGCATATGCTCAATAAATTCACTATACAAGACTGAAAGCTCGTCAATTACCCATTAAAATAGCAAAACAGTGCAGCGAAATAGTATTGAGGACGATAATATAGCATATGCGCCATGAATGTCTGCAGCAATTGCTACCATATTGCTACCTAATCCGTGACGTCATATTCCATAGTTCACCCTCTGTTCAACTCCGGCAATCCTTCAGACCCCGCAAACTTCCGGCCCAATTCCCTGGTTCCTGTAATCATGAAGTGGTTGAGCGCATTGTTCATCAGCAGCTCTACGTCTACCTCTCTCACAATCACCTTCTGGCATCCTCACAGCACGGCTTCCGCCCGCGGCACTCTACTGAAACCGCGTTGTTGTCCGTCACTGAACGCATCCTGGCCGCCACCGATAGGGGGGAGATCTCAATGCTATGCCTTCTCGATCTTAGTAAATGTTTTGACGTGATAGACCACGAGCTTCTGATGCAAAAACTTATGCTGCACGGTATCGAAATTTCCTGGTTCGCCGCCTATCTTCATGGACACACCCAGAGCGTGTCGTTGAACAATGGGTCCGGAAGTAGAGTGCTGTCTCGGCCTCTTCCTAATACCATGGGTGTCTTCCAGGGCTCTGCGTTAGGGCCGTTACTTTTCACCATCTTCTCTAACAACTTATCGCTGTACGCGGGTGATGCAGTAGTCTTTCAATATGCCGACGACACCCAGGTATTGGTAAGCGGTCCTGCCAGGGACCTTGGAGTTCTCATCTCGCGCATGGAGGTTTCGCTCGCGTCACTCAACGAATGGTTCTGCGCTAACGCCCTGAAGGTCAACGCCAGTAAAACACAGCTCATTGTCTTCGGCAGTCGTCAAAATTTACGCAAATTGCCAGATTTCAGGGTATCGTTCCGTGACGTAGCGTTGCAGCCGTGCGCGCAGGTGGGGAACCTGGGTGTCACTTTTGACAATACTCTTTCCTAAGACGCTCACGTCTCCGAACTCAGCCGCCGGTGTACGGGACTGTTGATCGGTCTCTCCCATGCGCGCCACAGTCTCCCGGATGGCATCATTAGAACGCTCGTGACAGCACTCGTTATCTCACACATCCAGTACTGCCTCTCAGTTTGTGGCAATGGGCCCCCAAAAAAGTTCGATCGTCTCCAACAAATTTTGAACTTCGCTGCTAGAGTCATTTTCGGTCGCCGTAAATTTGCCCATGTCTCTGACCTGCGAAAAAAGCTCGGGTGGTTGTCCCCGCGTCATATGGCTGATTACCAAACCCTTGTTATCGCCCACAAAGCCATACAGCGCGGCGAACCCGAGGAATTGGCAACCTACGAAATTGGCAATACTACGAAAGTGTCTCTGTCCGTGCTTTGACGTGAGTGAATGTGTGAATGCTGTGAATGTTTAGATTAGTAACCGCGGATACGGATTCTCAGCAGTAATCGCCACGCACTTTTAGAATGTGGATCGCTCATGATTGTTCAATACAATACAATAAAATACAATACAATAGCGGCGCGCATTTTCCCCTAGTGAACCCTAGTGAATGGCGTGCGATGACTGACCACGCCACCAAAGCGCGTGAAACATTGTCCATTTTTAGCTGATAAGTTCGGATGAATCGTTACTGATACTCTCAGGTGGAAGTTCTGAGCCGATGGAAAATAGTATGTGCCTAGAGAGGCATGGATTAACCCTCGCCAGGCGAGGGCCTTTTTCAAAAGGCGGACGGAGAGGGGGGTTGGTACGACTCCCCCCCCCCCTGGCGATTGGCTGCTATGGCACTTAGAAACGCCAAATTCACAGGTTAGGTGGACCCATAGGAAATCTCGCCCTTGTGCAAATTTTGTTGCTCTAGATTTTTTAGTGGGAAAAACTCGTGCGATTGGTAACTTTGTGTACTCCGTGTTCTACTTCTCATCCTGCATCTGATTCTTGAATCACCTGACCTGTGAGTGAACTGTATCGAATTTTATTTGCTGTTTAAAATTTTCGGTACTCGTCGCTGGAGCCGCTGTCGTGAAACCATCGAAAAAAAAAATTATCGAAGAGAAGAGCTCATCGTTACATAAAGACTTACGCATTTTATAATAACGCACTAAACGGGGCAAATTTTAAGCGTCTATCTGCAGTCGTTTTCAAGATAATCATCAAGTTCTGCATGACTATTTTCTCTCCGCCGCGCATGCCTTTAAGGCCCAAGTCTCCCCCCCCCCCCCAACCGCAGTCGGTTGCCATGGGGACCAGCTCCTATGGGGCCGGGCCGGCGCCCGAGACGCCGGTAGCCGGCTAACAACGGGTGCGTAATTTAGGCCAGGGTTCATAATGTCCAGGGCACAATGTGTCCAGTGCTCGAAATGGCCAGTGCCTTGAATTGGCCCGTGTTCACATTGTCCAGGGATTACATGGTCCAAATGTGGCCAACTGGCTGCAGATAGGGTAAATTCAAAGAGGCCAGGGTTCATAATGTCCAGGGCACGATGTGTCCAGTGTTCGAAATGGCCAGGGTTCATAATGTCCAGGGTACGATGTGTCCAGTGTTCGAAATGGCCAGGGTTCATAATGTCCAGGGCACGATGTGTCCAGTGTTCAAAATGGCCAGTGCCTTGAATGGGCCAGAGTTCATAGTGTCCAGGAATTACATAGTCAACCCAACCCAACCTAACCTAACCTAACCTAACCTAACCTAAACTAACCTAACCTAACCTAACCTAACCTAACCTAACCTAACCTAACCTAACCTAACCTAACCTAACCTAACCTAACCTAACCTAACCTAACCTAACCTAACCTAACCTAACCTAACCTAACCTAACCTAACCTAACCTAATGTAATGATGTTTGCCTACCAGGGATAAGGAAATAGTTTCTCGCATGAATAGATTGCAAGCAATAGTAAATCAAATATTTTTACGTTAAGTGGTTATGCATCAGGCTTCAGGCCTTCGGCCTGAATTCAGATACATAACCACTTAACCTAAAAATATTTGATTTACTATTGCCTGTAATCTCTCCTATGGCATTGCCTTCGGCACTGCACTGCTTCGCATTGAGCTGGTTCCGTGTTTTTTACATAATGACGTCACTATCAGTGACTATGTAATCCCTGGACATTATGCACTCTGGCCCATTCAAGGCACTGGCCATTTTGAACACTGGACATATCGTGCCCTGGACATTATGAACCCTGGCCATTTCGAACACTGGACACATCGTGTCCTGGACATTATGAACCCTGGCCATTTCGAACACTGGACACATCGTGCCCTGGACATTATGAACCCTGGCCTCTTTGAATATACCCTATCTGCAGCCAGTTGGCCGCATTTGGACCATGCAATCCCTGGACATTATGAACTCTGGCCCATTCAAGGCACTGGCCATTTCGACACTGGGCATATCGTACCCTGGACATTATGAACCCTGGCCAGAATGAATGCTCCCCGCTAACAACAATGCCGGCCGACCCTCGTCTCCTCCCCAGGCGGTCCGCCGGGCTGGCGTGCTCGGCGCGAGGGGACATGGGAGCAGAGAACAGCTGACTGTTCCCGGCACTGAGAACCCTCACGGGTCTCGTCGTGTAGAGTGCCAAACACCTGACATCAACCATCGACGGGACGACCAAATTGCTCCTGCCTGTGCATACCACCTGGCATTTCTGATGGAGGTGCGTGACCGGCTTAACAACAACACGGCTCGGGAAGTCGCCGAGACTATCCTGTGCAGTCTTCCCGCCCAGGTCGTCCGCCGTCATAATCGGCCACGCCCCCTCAGCCCAGTGGACGGAGCACATGGCCGGCCCGCTCGACAGACTCAGCGCCAGTCTAACCTGCCGACCGACCCGCCCAAATTACTCATCGTCTCCCTGAATATTCAAAGTCTGAAGCCCAAAGTTCAGGAGCTGACGTTTGAGCTCAATCGTCACAACTACGACGTCATGCTTCTGGCTGAGACCTGGCTGCGCTCGACCACCCCGAACCGCCTCCTGGTCATTCCAGGATACACGCTCTGTCGTGTGGATCGCCCAGCTGGTAGCGGTTACGGCGGTGTCGCTATTATTATTTATAGTCACTGTGGCAATTATCACCAAGTCTAAAATCACGTCAACCGCACTCAAGATCCCGGGCAGTGGGAGCTCTGCAAGCAGCCTGGAGTCACTGTGGGCGCTGCTAAAGCTTGGGCAGGGCCGGCAGCTGATTATCTGCTCCCTGTATCGGCCACCCCGACACAGTGAGGCTGCTCTGCTTGCCGACTTCACGGACCTCGAGGCCCAACTGCAACGAGTTATAATCGATTACCCCAGTGTTCCGCTTGTCATCTGCGGTGACCTCAACTGTGATTTATTGAAAGAGCCTAATTTCCGCGCGTGTCAACACCTAAGCAGCTTCCTATCAAATTACTCATTAGATCAATTAGTGACAACTGCAACATTTACCCCCGGCTCACTCCTGGATGCGTCTATTGTTAACAACCGTGAGCTCGTTTGCGACACCCGTGTTAAATATTGCCACTTCAGTACTCACAAATTGATCGATGTCGTTGTGAATGTGCCGAAACTGCGTCAAAAGCCCACTGTTATCTCGTCTCGCTATTTTAAGCGTTTAGATCACCCTGCACTGCATCATGACTTACTCGATGTCGACTGGGATTATGTATTATCCGCCGAAACCGTCAGTGATAAGTGGGATGCTTTCTTGTCTTTCTTCGTACCTGTTTTCG